ATATAAGCCAGGTGGCTTTTTCCACTTACTGACTTGGCGAATCGAACATCCAAGTCAGGGCTTCTTCTCCGCACCTTTCTAGCTGGGTCTTCCATGCAGGGTTCCATGTGACCAGGCGACTTCTCACTTCCTGAGTGGCCAGAAAAAGTCCTGGAACCTCACGTTGGTGGCGGGTGCTTGGTGGTGGTGAGACTTGAACTTAAACGTGGATTTCCCCACAAGGAGAGCCTGATTTCTTAGGCTCAGAAACTGCAGTCCGGGCTTGCATCTTCCTGCGGCTGAAAGGGCGGAGGAACTCGACGTGCCAGAAGCGCACGGGGAAGCCGGCACGAGCGACCTGGCGTTTCGCCTACCGCCAAACCTGAGATATACAGCCAACTCGAAGCCTCTGAAGTGTCTATCTATCTATGTACCCATTTTATCCTCTCTTAATTATATATATATACATATGTATATTAATATAATAATATGTACATTATATATACATACAATGAATATACTAAATATATCTCATTCTCCCCCTGGGAGTAGTGGTTTCGGGCTGGAAACCATCTTAGAAACTGGAACTCCAACGCTTGGCTGCAAATCATCTTCCAACAGGCTGCGGGTGCTTCTTGCAGCCGGCAAAGGTCCATTTTCCAACATGAGTCACTTGCTCAAAGCGGTAGGGACAATCCCCTTGCATACATTATGTGTTGCCACCCAAAGTTGCCATGACTTGCCAGCTGTTTCTTGCCCGATTGCAAGTGACATCTCAATCTCAGGCGGGCTGGATTCAGGGTCCGGGGGATGATTGGGGGGGGGATTCAGCGCCATCACGCATTGTGAGACAGTCGGGAATCCACTTGTTGCGCTCCACACACGCGGCATCCTCGCTATTCTGCTCAGGAATCCGTCCCTTCACAGGTGAGAAATCAACCCTTACCCACTTTTTGAGGGTATATTTTGAACAACCGGGCATTTCATGGTACATGCCTCCCTTTTTAGTCCGGCGTCATGATGCCCTTCAACCAGTGTCAGTGAGTAGAGGCCGTGCTTACTCTTACTTGGGCGTGTCGTTCTTTGAGGGTACCTGTATTTTGGTGTCGTTTCAAAGGGAAGCCACAAACCTTCCTTGTGCTCAGTAGGGAATGTGGGAATGACCCGTATCAACCATCCAACGGGTGGCTTCCTTTATTCGGGAATCCTCCTTTCGGCTCATTCCATTTCTCATTCCCTATGGCGCACCAGCAAGCAAATGTTCCAACAAGTCCAAAGCCTGAAACAAGAATTGGAAAATCAAAAGATTTGCCCCTCGGTGAGCAAGAAAAGGAACACCCGCACAAATCCAATGGAGATCTCAGATGCCCAGCCGTGGGGAAAAAAAGGGCGCCTCCTTTGTTGGTTGGTTGAGTTTGAAGGGGACACCTTCCCCCAAAAAAGGGAAAAAAGGGGCGCCACTGGGCAACAGAGAGATAACCCCAGTCACCCCGTGAGCTCGTTTCACCCCGTGAGCAAGACAAGGAAAACCCTCGGAGCTCAGCCCACGGAGCCCGGCCTTGATGGCCGCCAGGACTCCCTGGTAACCTTGCGGGCTGTCCGAGCGAGCAGACGAGACATGCTCGAAGCGAAGCCCGAAGCGAATTTTCAGGAAATTTAATCGGGGGTGCTGGAGGGTTCGCTGGTTTTTGCATGTTTTTTTGTGTGGCCATATTTTCTTCTATCTTGTTTGGATTTTTTGGGCACCAAAACCCTTTGATCAGCATAACGCAAACACATGTAAAATCAGGGAACCACAAAATAACGAGATGCAATCAGCAAAGCTTGCTCCTACCGTAATGGCCAGGCGTTTCGGAGCTTCCGAGGGAGGACCCCCAAAGCTTCATGGATTCCCTGAGAAAAGGACTCAAGTTGGGGTTGCAGTTTGTAGGCTCAGTACCTGTTTAGGTTGGGTTGAAAGGGGGCCAAAAAGGAGAGCCGGAATCCATTTGGGCTCCAAATCCCCATTTGGCACATAGCGCAGCAAATCTGAGCAGCGGTCAAACCGTCTCGTTCAAATCTAGGTTGCAAGGAAGTCTTGCGACCAGGTGCTTGCGCGAGCTTAAACGAGCCAAGGGGTCGCTTGCGCAATCACTCACGCCTTTTGGGCTTATGCAACGCACTTACGAGGCTTTAAGCTGCCACGTGTTTTCCTTGCTCAGGACTCTTAATTAAGACCACCTCCTTCAATTGCAAAGCAAGCTAGTTTTGAAGCCTGCCCATGTGTAGTTTACCTGGCCACCAACATGGTCACGCTACCAGCATATGGCTCAAAATTAAAGAGCTAGGGTTACGCAGGTTTTAGGCTTTGGTTCCATTTACCAAGGTGCCATTTTGGTACCACTTTTTTGAGCCACAGCCAAGTGGGTGTGATCTTTTTGAGGCTGCCCCTTTTTTACCATTGGTTTCAAGGGCATTTGGGGCTCCCCCTCTAAGCTTCCGTTTGGTTAAGACCCCTGGAAGAAATAAACAGATTTCCAGTAGTGATGAATTCCTTTTAAAACCAACAAGGGACAATAACAAACATATTCTTTTCAGCAAATGAAAGTAAAACAAACCCAAATCTGATCCGCGACAAAGGTTCACGAGCCAAGAAGCTCAGCTGCTCCGCCACAGAGGGCCGGTGGAAGAAGGGTTTGGAGGAATCGCCGTCCACAAAGGCCTCCACTTGGAGCTCACTCGACGTGGACTTCTGACACTTACCAACCCCAAAATGGGCCTGGGCTTCCTTTTCGCACTTTACGAGAGGAACCCCACACATCCAGCAACAAACTCGCTACTCTTGATCGCTGACTTGTGCGCCGCATGGCCTTCGTATTTTGAGCAACCGGAACTAGAGGTTGAGCTTCATCCCCCAAAATCCTCGCCTGGTAAGACTGTGGCACCACAGGGGTCGCCAAGATGAGCCCCGAGACAACGCCGAGGAATGACCAGCCTTCCCTTTGGATGCTTCAAGCGAAACCAACCATTGCTCAACTCTGTTGTTCTGGCGGCTTTTTTGGAAACCCTTAGAGGTTTGCTGAACTGCTTGCAAAGGAAGCAACCACACACAAACACACACACACACACATGCGCAAGGCGGGTACGACTCCTGGGTACATCCTTCCCTTTTAACACCACAAACAAAAATAAGGCACCACCTCCCAGGCCATATGTCAATTTGCTGTTCCAGACAGGTCGTGAAGAGTCGATGGCAGTGGCATAACAGTTGCAATGCAGCAGCCCAAAAGGGGCTCAATCAACATAAGCAATTAGCAGGTAATGTTAAGTGGTTGATCTTCCCAAAACTCGTTGACTGTTTGGTTTTACTAACGTGGTCATTAAAAAAATGCACGAGCTATATGGGGTTGTCTCAAAATGGGGAACCTGCAAAATGGGGGGGGGGGGTCGGTTGGTTCTCTCTATTAAAAAAAAACCCGAAATGAAAACACACCCTTTATGGGCTGCAGTATAACCAAAATCAAACCAGGTAGACCCACCTACTAAAATGGACCATTTGGGTTTAGGGCGCTGCTCAAAAGCTGCCTCAGTCCACTTCGCGGTTTTTGTTTCCTATCTGGCGTTTGTGGTTGGGTTGTCCTCGTCCGGGAGCCAATCTTGCTGACAAAGCGTCACCCTCCTTTTCAACCTGGAAGTGACAGGCTCCCATTTCCTGCAAATGGGAAAGAGTTCGAGCTTTCTGGACCCCCTTTAAAGCAAGTCTTTGGAGGGCCAAACAAATGACCAAACACACGATTTGGAGCAAGAGAAGGGGACCCTGCGCTTCCAACCTACCTGTTCGACCCCGTTGTTTTGAAGTTGGTACCCCTTTGGTGGCTTTTAAAGGGAAACCAAACAAAAGGAAACCACATATCTTTTTTGGGGGCACCCTCAAAAGAGACAACAGCACCGTCTTTAAAGACGTCTTCCAAGGAGGGAAGACGCGCCGTCTTTACAAACGTCTTCCAAGGAGGGCCCAAACACTGACAAGAGACGTGGATTTTGAGTAAGAGAAGGGGCCCAACCCCGTTTTAACTTTCAGTTCGGTATCCAAAAATCCCCGCTTTTGCGGTTGGACCGAAAACCGCCCCCCCCCCCCCCCCCCGCGCCTGGTTCTTGGGGTTCGGCTTGATGCAGCGGATGAAGTGGGGCTCCGTGCGCTCGATCTGCTGGAGCAGCTCCTGACTTCTTTGGCGCTGAAAACAGATCAAGCCCTACTTGAGGCAGGGTATGTCAGGTAAGTCTCCGTTTTTTTCCCCAGAAAACGGCTCAAGCCCTACTTGGGGCGGTTTTTTAAAAGGGAAGTGGTTGTAATAACCATGGTGAGATATCCCGTAACTCCTTTTTTCTTCTTTGCGCAGAAAACGGCTCAAGCCCTTGGGGCGATCGATTCGGTATGTCTGGTAAGTGGGTGAAATAACCATGGTGAGATATCCTAGTTGTGGACCCACAGCCATTGCAAGGGGCAGACTGTACTTCAGGTAAGTGGGTAATAACCATGGTGGCTATATCCCACACAAGCCATGGCATAAGTCTTCCTTCAGTGGGTTGTAACCAGGCTTTCTAACCACTTACTAAAGGAGTTGGACCAAGGGTTGCGCATGTGGCCCAAAAGGGAAAGGATTGATTCGCATGGTTCACCTCATCTCAGGCATGTTCTGAAGGAAAGTAAAGAAAAAACAACTCCGCAGCCAACTTGCGGTGGGTCAAAAGAATGCCTGTACACACTTTTGGACCGGTTTTCAGAAGTCAGCCAACTTGAGAGGTCGCAAAAGAACAGGCTTACATGGTTTGGTCCATGCCAGCTTTGCCTGTTGGCCCCCGAAAACCCCTCTTGCTACGTATTTTTCCAAACAGCTGCAAGCGATCCCCCGTCTCAGCGCAGAAATCGGCTCCGCTTCGGGTGGGTTCCGCTTCGGGTTCCGCTTCGGGCTCCCAGCTGGTTCTGAGGGCGGGCTGAATAGGACCGAACCCAACCGCGAGGGGTGGACCTACCTTCCATC